GTAGAGGCTCGTGATCTATCCCTGCACTCTAAGTGCTCCCTAATGCGAACACATAGCGGCCGCGCTGTCTCGCCTATGTACTCGTCGCCGCAATTCATTCAGGTGATAAAATAGATGACCACCGTCGCCATGCAGTCTCCGCACCTATCCTCAGGGCATATAATGCAATTGGGCGTAGTGCAGTCGTGATCTGATTTTGGTCCGCAATCGTGATAGATACGATTGCGGACCAAAATGCTTCTAAGGTTATTAGGGGTGTTTCCAGCTGTGGTGCCACAGCTTTTAAGGAGGTGTGCCACACCCATTAACTGCATCAAAAAAACATTTTTAGCTAACAGTATTTATACGAATCGACAGCCTAATCCTCGTAAATTCCGTAGGAATATTTTAAGCCTGATTTGTCTTCTTAGCTCTGAGTAATACTTGGTGAAAGCACAGCCGTTTAGAGCGAAAAATGAGAAAAATGAGATTTTGGTTGGCTTCTAATTCCACAGTTTTGAGGTCTTTTGAAGCGGGACTTCTGAGATGGACAAAGAAGGAGTAATGCTTTGTCTTGAGTGCAAAAACGGATGGCTAATTTACCTTTGAAACAAAGTTAACCATGTTGGAATATGACCATTTCACTTAGGTAGCCTAGTATTTTGAATCTTCAGAATTCGCTCAAACCTTGTCTACAGGGGTTAATTGACATGCTTATTATGGATATGATACGTATATCATGTTATCACTATTATTAGATTACCCAATTACGACACCCTTCCCTTTTGACTCCTAAATACGACCCCAAGGTGTGGCGTGCCACACCCAACGCTTCACCCTGATCAAGAGTGACATAGCCAAGCGGTTGTGCTATATGTAGCACTCAAGTATCAGTTCGCTTCCTTTGCAAAAGTATTTAAGATTGCAGTGAGCTTGGACAGAGCTCGGTGAATATGTTCTAAATTAAATTCTGAAAAACATGAAACTTCTCCACTACTGTGTTCAGTTTTTGTTGTATAAGTGGAATATCTATTGGCTGGGCATTGCTATTTCCGAACGCATCCCTTAGCTTTTCAAACATGAAAGAAATTGGCGCACACCAGTGATTCAGACATACGTACTATGTTCCTCTATTAATTATCTGCCTTTGGAGAAACATATGAAGGCTACGAAACTAACACATGAAAACTTAATTTAGAAAACTTTAGTGTTTAGTGTAAAGTTGAACAGATTAGTTCCAATCAACGAACAATTTTTGGACGACCAATCTACAAAAATGCAAAGTAATGATTACTAAAAAGAAATATCGTAGTATATCAAAATGAGGTGTAAATTACTTTTATAGATACGCGGAAAAACGCTGACTGTACTTACGTCCTTTAATATAGACAGCGTGTGCGAGATTAGCGGAATCCACGGAACGTCGTACTTTCACCGAAACGCCGCAAATCTCGAAAACTTTGTAAACGTTTTGCGGGCGACATTGTAAAGAGCTGCAGAGTGATTGAAATTATAAAATTCAGCGTTGCACTTTTTTACTATAACGTTACAATTTTTGCAGTTTAAAGGTAGCGATACTATCCTGCACTTGAGGCAGCTGTGAAATGTGCCATTCACTACGCTGTTGGTCTAACCAGTAATTTCGCCAACAGCGAAGCGGATGAAGCGGCTAAACGGATGATTTTAGTGCCTGCCTTAGGCTCACATAAAATTGCAACGTGATTGCAAACAGATGTTAACATCTATTCTTCGTTTATTTGATGCAGGAGCATAAGACGACAGCAATGGGGCTAAGCAATTAGATTAGGGCACACTATCATCAGATAAAGCTGCTCATAAAATAGTCTTTTTAGTCCAGTGCAGTCAAGTCTAAAAAGAGACCAAAAAAGAAAAGCCTTCGTGTGATGCCAGTATACTCAACTTGCTAATATCTCCTGGAATGTTTGCTGCAATCTGAAACACTCTTGATGAAGCTCTAGATGCTCACTCGCATCTCGCTTTTTCACTTCATCTTGATTCATTCAATGCTTATAGGGTGTGAGCACAGTGATGGAATTTCCGATTTTTTACAGAAAGAATAATTCAAGCCACACGAATGTTGACACGTTTTTGACCGCAGAATCGCGTTCGGCGAACAATCGTTTTCTTTGCTCGTTAGTCAAAAAGAGATCACATTTTATAAATGAGTACTGTTATGTTAGTGATTCTCAATGATCAGCCGTTTTCTTCATAGTGATCTGCCCTCGCTGAGGCGCCTGCGACCTCAATGCGCGGGAAATGAGCGCTGCTATAAAAGGCGCTCGCTGTTAGCCATTGTCAGTTCATTCGTTCACTACTTTGCCTCTCATTTTCTATTGTCTTCTATTCTTTCTACAATAAATATATTTGTTTCCTCTGTGCCTGCCTCAGGACGAAGAATCGAAGTGTCTGGAGTCAAGGACACAACAGTGGCGATCAGGAGGCAGCGGCTATTAGTGAAGAAGTAACCGTAACGAAGAAGCACGCCAGGAACCACGCCGAAGAAGCTGCAGGGAGACGAAATCTCAAAAGCTGGAGTGTTAACAAATGGCAAAAATAGGCATACAAGACTTATTGATCTTAAAAGAGAGGCAAGAAATGATGAAGACGTTTCTGAAGCACATAGCAAGTACTGGACAGGCCAGTACATCCTCCGAAGTTTCGAATATGTTATCTGCGCTCAGTAATCAAATCGAAAAATTCTACTTCGACGCCGAGGCGGACATGTGCTTCAGCAAATGGTACGCTCGCTACAAGTGGCGTCTGCCAGAGAGTGCCAGGGTGAGGCTTCTTTGCGAAAAGCTCGACAAGGAATGTTTCGAAAAATATCAGAGGCATGTGCTACCGAAAGAGGTCACTGCGATTGAGTTCGAAAAAACCGTCGAAACATTTAAGCAACTATTCGATGTGAAGATTTTTGAATTTACAATGCACCAGTGTTCAAAGCTGCAGAAGAACGACGCCGAAGATTACCTCATGTACACCGGTCGAATGAAAGAACTGTGCGAGAAAGCGAAGATTCACGATTTGGATAGCGATGGGATCAAATGCTTGCTATGGATATTTGGCCTGAAGAGCCAAAAAGAAGCTGAAATAAGGCAGCGACTCATCACCGTACTGGACAAGGAATACAAAGCTGGACGAAAAATCTCGCTGCAGGAGTTGTACCTGGAATGCAAAAACTTCCTGAGTCTCAAGAAAGATAGCGAGACTGTTGCTGGTTGCACGAAAATTGTCGAAGCAACAAGCAAGGAGGAACCCATGAGACTGGAATGCTGGAAGTGTAGTAAAGCTCACTTCTCCAGAGAATGCAAATCGAAGCTATGGTTCTGCAAGAGGTGCAAGAAGACAGGTCATAAAGAGAAGTTTGTGAACAAGCGGCGGAAAGAAAAGCACTTGTTCAGCAAGATTCGAAACGAAGAACCCACAGAAGCAGCGACACCAGTAAGAACAGAAGTTGGACGAAGCTCAAACGTCATGTGCACAATATTGCGAAGATTGCGAATGCGATGGTGGATGTCAACCCAACACGCACGTATATCGAAGCAAAAGTGAATAGTTATTCAGTCAGCTTCCTGTTAGATACTGAATCGGACATCACATTGTTGAACCAATCAATTTGGAGAAGCATGGGTTCGCCTTGGCTGGAGAACACGAACGTGGTCGTCAAGAATGCCAGTGGAGGCTACATGAAGGTTTATGGAAAGCTATGGTGCGATTACGAGATCAAAGTTTCTAGGAGCGAAGGCTAAGCATATGTGACGCCCCACAACTCATTGCTAGGACTGGAATCGATTCAGAAAAACGAAGAAATGTCGTATCACTTGAGCAGAATGGCTGCCGAAGTGAAGACAGAGCAAATCAAGGACATCGCTCTGAAGCTGAAGGAAGCCTACCCAGAAGTCTGCGAAGAAGGTTCGAGATTATGCACGAAGGAAAAGGCACACTTGAAAGTTGACGAAAACGTTCGTCCCGTTTTCAAGGCTAATACCTGTCCCCCATGCCGCTCTCGAAGCCGTCGAAAAGGAGTTTGACAGGCTATTGGACCTGAAGGTTATAAGTCCGGTGACACATAGCGAATGGGCAGCTCCCATCGTATGTGTAAGGAAAGCGAATGGGAAGTTGAGAGTGTGTGCTGATTTCTTGACTGGACTCAACAAAGCGCTGGAGTCGTATGATTACCTGTTGTCATTGCCGGAGGACATATTCGCATCCCTCAATAAAGGTGCAGTGTTTTCGCAAGTAGATTTGTCGGACGCCTATCTGCAGATCGAGTTGTCAGAAGAAGCGAAGAAAATGGTTGTGATAAACCCACATAGAGGGTTGTACCAATAGAATAGAGTGCCTTTTGGAATAAAGACAGCACCACCAATCGAATGAGAAATAAGTTAAAATTACACATATTATTGCTTGTTTGAAGCGCCGCTTTGCTTGGAGGTCGATTTGCTTAAAGGAACAACGACGAGAGAAAGTGCTGAAGCATTCTCTCGGTACGCCTGGTCACGTCTGCCCGGCGCTCTGCCCCTCATGATAATCGTGGTTATCACGACACTCCGGGGGCGCTGTTTTGTTGAAGCGGTTTTTGACCGCCCTCCCGGCGCGAATGAAAAAAATTGGCAAAAACATACAAGCAATAGCACAACTATCAACGATTATCATTTATGACTATTATCACGAACGCTTTATCGGTTTAGAGTAAACATTAGCGGAACTCCAAAAAGGGCATGTAGGTTATTAAGTTATCAATCTATTAGCTTATAGATACATAATTTATTGGTGATGTTGTATATATTCTTGTCATAACTTTTGAATAACTTGCTACGTTAAGTTGTATGCAATATTGCTTCATGTCTGCTCTGTGTGGTTTACTTTTCAAACGTATGAAATTTCCGCATGGCTCCATTTAGCCTTGAAGTCCAGTTGTGTGGTAGAAACTTTCCAATGGCAAAGTTGGACAGTAAACTACTTTTGTCTGTTTTTACTCTGCATTATAGTCGCTTTTATTATTCGATGCACGCACATTTTTTGAGAATTCTTCTGCACAACTTCTTGTTTTTGCCTAAGAGGCATATCTTCATTATTTCTTTTGGGCAGCAATTCCTTCTTCTGAAATTCAACAAAGGAACTTGACATTTGCGAAAAGTGGGGAGCCTTATACACATATCGTCAAAACATCACAAGTCAAAACTGACCTCGAACTTAAAACAATCACTTACCGGCATCAATTAATAATTTTTTTCCACCGAAAAATAGGCAATCCTATTTACAAGAGGCATTCGAATTGAGGTGGCCTTGCATAAAAGACGTGTATTACTTGGCTGGTTCTGAATGCTGATAAAACGGTTTTCATAACTAGCAAACGGTACATCGGATGAACCCAACAGCACTTTCTACTATTAGAGCATGGTCCAGTCCTTTCTGAACGGAGCTCATAGTAAATGCGAAATTTTTCCGGAGTTGCAACCCAGGCTGTTTGAAATGTACTTTCCTCACTGAAGAAGCGAAAAGTAAAGGTTTGGAAGTTAATTGGTTGCTTTTGTCCTCATTTCACATCAAGCTACCAAGCTTAGTCATATGAGCACAAGAAAAAGCGTAATTACGCGCATGTAACCGTTTAAAGATACGGGAGGTAGTTTTGTAATCAGCTGTAGACCTGCCGATATACATATTACTGGAGGAAGCCACTTTAAGTCAAATGCCTTTATTTGTTAGTTGCCTTTTCTGACTCTTTAAACCAGAAATCTATTGTTTTAACGCGTTTAGCGCTTTGTTAATATCTTTGAACGTACCTGGGTTTATGCGGGCGCTTAGTTGCAGGTGGTTCCCGTGAACTTCCTAAAATAAGCATCAATTCATCTGTCATATATACCACTATCATAACTGTATGATCGATATTGAACGCTTCAGCTTTAGGTTCTGCTTCAAGGCTATATAACATTTGCTAAATCTGATAAACCGTGATTAAGTCTTTTTCAACCTTTTTCATAAGGAATCAATTACAGAACAACTCGGTTTCTATGGCAGCCAAGAGATTTTATTCTGATAGTCAAATAGTAATGGTTGTGGACCTCAGACAGAGGATCAAAAAAACAATCGTGACAGAGAGGAAATTACCAAAGACTTGCTAAATTAGAAACTTGCGACTTGCGAATTTTTATCTCTTTGATAATTAGCATCACATTCATGGTCATTATAATTATGAACTCACCAAAATTTGCCCAGAACTACCCAATTATTTTGATTCGTTTGCCTATCTATGCGTTTGAGATAATGTGTCAGGTCATTTCGGAGGTAATGTCGCTTTTTTCAAGTGAACGCTACATTTCGAGGAAGCAAGATTTCCGATGCTGGTAGCATTCGATGCAACATTTCGTTCTCTTTCTAATGGTTAATAAGCATTGCATTATATTTGATAAGCTTCAAAAATTTACCAAAATCTGCGAACCCGTGTTTTTTGAGAGGGTCAAGTTTCACAAGTTTTCTAAATTTTTACAACAATTCCCGAGGAGTCCAAGTAACAGGTGGATTGAGCAAATCCTGTAGGAAACAGCATGATTTTTTTCTACTTTGCTCGTTCGTTCGTTTTTCTTTGGTTCTACTGCTCGTCATAATTTTTGTAGAGATTTTTCAATGGAATCACCGAATTTTAGCAGGGCTTGTCTTAGATATATTAGGTTGAACCGAAAGTTCTGTTGCATTATTTTCAAAAAATCGTAACTTCTTCCGTTCACTACAGTCTTGCATGGCAAAAATAGAACTAGGAAGAGTATGTATTTTTTAATAACACCCTGACTGCTCTCGTTTAGGCTCTGATTGCGGAGATAAAAATGGGAAGAGAAATCACATTTTAAGTTCGGAATTTTGAAACAAGCCCGTTAAAAATTTCAAATCTGCGCCATAAAATCCAAAACAGTCAGTATCCAAAATCATTTGACCCCCTCTTTCTAGCTGAGCAGAACTCGCGCTGATTAAGCTCTTCTTAAAAAATTATGATTCTTGAGAAAAAAATGGCAAAAAATCGACTTTCTTGAGGAGGCTATTTTTGATTTTTGTCAAAAACCATGCAACAGCTGCCTTTGCAATGCTTCGTAAGACTGATTACACCATCTGAGAAGCTTTACAGACTCCCAAAGCGCTGAGTAATGAAATCAGCACGCATGAAATCCTCCATGCACCGCCTTTCAAAATTTTTGGAAAAACTTTTCAAAACACGACCAATCCACAATGACGCTGTAAGCCGATATTCCTGCCGTAATCCTACAGTAATCAAAAGCAATAGGTGGCTTGCTCTATACTCAGTATCTAAGTTGAAGCCAGCTCTATGAAATGGTACCTGAAAGCAGGCAGAAGACTTTTTGGGAAGAGAGATTTTAACGATCAAACACTGTATACATACTTTTGGGACACCTGTATATTAGGTTGCCCCATAAGTGTTTTCATCACGGAGTTTTCGCTATAATAAGTCACACATTTCTCTTCCTAAATAGACGTATACCATTCGATAGAGCAAAGCAAGCTCTATAAGAAGACGTTTAGTTTTGCACCAGCTACGATCCATCTCAAGTTTTAAACCAAAATCTAAAAAATCGATTGTCTAAAAAAATTTTTAGAAAAATTCTATATCTTCGTTCAAAAAACCCTACAGATCTCTCAAACACTCACGCATATACATTCCACATCAGACATTGATATGTGCTACTGCTGTATATTCTTACCAGCTAGAAATCAAGGAACACAAAATTATGTTTTTACCAAAGTGACGCTGTGCTACTCTTACACTAACAGTTGCATACTACAAGCCCTTAGAAGTATGACCGTAAATTTTCAGCTCTCTATAAGCTCTAGCTCCCGAGTAATATCGAATTTAGCTTTCATTACTCAAGTTTTTCACGCTTAACTTAACATTTCTCGGAAACCAGAACTTACAGAAGGCTAAAAATTTACGGTTATACTTCTAAGGGCTTGTAGTACATAACAGTTGGTGTAAGAAAGGCTCAGCGTCACTTTCGTAAAAGCACGGAATTTTTCGGTTTCTTGATTTCTAGCTGGTAAGAATATGCAGCGACAGAACATATGAATGTTTAATGTGGAGTGTATATGCGTGAGCGAGTAAGACATCTGTAAGACTTTATTGAACGAAGATATAAAAATTTTTCATTTTTCTGGGCACCCGAAACTTTTTAGATTTTGGTTCAGAACTTCATATAAAAAAACGAAGCTTGTGCAACCTAATACTTACAGCAGTTAACATGTGTGCTTCTATTGGCTTCCCGTATTCTACGCAATCTCTTCAGTTTTCCTGAGATTTATCGTGAACTAGCTGGCTTACTCGGGTCCACTCGGCTTGTCAAAAGACTATGATAAAGGTACATTCCTATCCCTGTGCAACCTTTCTCAACCTTTTTCCTTTGTGTGCCCACTTCTACATGCCTCCCTATTCCCGCTGTATTATTAATAAGCATGTTCACCTACCCCCCCCCATGCCAACTTTGAGCACGGTAGCTCAAACTTTGCAAATTAATAAAATCGATGAAAGTAGTCGATCATTTTGGTAGCTAATATTGTGTTTGCAATCAGCATGCTCACTTACCCCTGTGTCACCTCTCAGCACTGTAGCTCAAATTTTGCAAAAAATCGATAAAATCGATAAAAGTAATGGACGATTCTGAAAACCAATATTGTATTCGTAATCAGCACTCTCAGTTACCCCACTGTGCCAACTCCTAGCCTCGTAGCTAAAAGCCTGCAAAAATCGATAAAATCGATGTCAATCGATGACGGAAAATAGCCTATGACACGCTTCCCGCCCCGATGTATATGTGTACCAAGTTTGGTCAAAATCGGTTCAGATATATTCCGCACATACGTACACACAGACAAACAGACAGACATACAGACAGACATACAAACAGACATTCAACTTTATGTATAAGATGAGGGCTGTCAATTAACTACATTTTGGTCATGTATACTAACAACCTTAGACTACTGATTGGGCATGTCATAAAGGCTCTTTTTCAAAAAGCGCGCTGGCTGCGTCTCGAAACATGTGGAGACTTTGATTTTTTAAGCCGTGAATTTAATGATTTATTTCTTGCTTGCAAAAAGACCCAATTACCGGGACAAGTAATAGTGAGCTTTGCTTCACCTGGCCAATACACAGGGTATGAAACGAAATTTCAAATTAAGCTTTTGGAGGTTCTGCGCGTCCCTAATTTGAAAAATGTGCCTTTTTGAAGACCTAAGCGCAAAAATTTTCCCTCTTTTTTTGCCATTTCATCTCAGGTGATCGTCATTTTTTCGAGTTGAATAGCGTGTTAGGTAGCTGGGGCCATCGCACACTAAGAAGACATTCCAAAACAGTCCCTTGCATTCGCATTCATTTTTGGTATATACGAGAGAAATTGGCAGAACTTTTTTTTACAATATAATACAAAATTCCGATTTTTGCATATTATGCAAAAATGTCCTGAATTTTGACTTCCTACCATATCATTTCGCTTGTTACTATGCAAGCTGATCTCTTTCTCAATGCACAAGCATTAAGACCGCAGACAATGTATAATGGCCACAGATTTTTTAAAACTTCTGCACTGTTTTATAATAACCACCGATGGTAAGTCGGTCACGTGCTGCTTATCTCATAAGTGAGAATGATTAAGTTCATATTTAGACTAACCTTTGGTTGACGATGGTGATGTGGTTGTTGGCGCAGGCGTTGTCACCCGCCTCGTTGACATTGACTGTACTATCTTTATCACTGTGTGTGTTCAACATTCCGAAGTGAAGCGCAGTGAAAGCTATGATTGAAACTTACCAAGACAGTTCATCTCACATATTTCTTGGCTTTCACTTACGATGGCTATTACAAGGTGTCTGCATGCAAATCCTTTCAATCTAATAAACATTTGGTAATGCATAAAACACCGGTAAAGATATGCCTTTGGGTAACCTACTTCGTTGCACCGTATCGCAACATTACTGGAATGCAGAGTCCTTGTCCTTAATTAGAGTTGATTATAAGCAAAAAGCTTGCGCAAACGTTAATTGAGAAATTTCGCAAATTTTCCACGTCAGACTGGTTAAGAACTGTGACCTCCGCAGGGTATTTGAATGGGTTGTTTCTTACAATGTTGCCTCGTCAACAACTAGAGTACCTTGTCGAATATGTTCATTATATGGTCGTTCCGGAAGTAATGTCGCTTTTTTCAAACGTACGATATATCTCGTGGAACAAAGTTGTGCAAGAGATTCTGGTAGCTTTCGATGCAGCATTTCATTCTCTTTCTAACGGTTATATAAACACTGCACATAATTCAATAACTTTTCGAAGAATTATTGAAATCTGCGACTCATGCTTTTTGAGAAGGCTAAGTTTCTTTTTATAATAACCCTCGGAAGAAGTCCAAGTAATGGATGGATAGAGCAAACCCTACAGGAAACAGCACAACTTTTTTCTACTTTCTACAGCTCGTCATAATTTTTTTTTATAGATTTTTTGATGGAACAACCGAATTTTAGCAGGCTCGTTTCAGACACAAATACATCAAACACCAGCAAATCTTCGGATTTTGAGACTTACAAAGATTGATTATGGTTTGACACTAATTTTACAAAGCAAATGAGCGTTTACCGCTTCAGATTAGCAACTTTCGAAAATTCCGGGTACAGCCTGGGGCGCGTTGGAAAACCTGAATTATGATGATTTTGTCCCGGAAAACTTGATGAATCGGAAACAAAAAACAACTGGAGGAGAAAAAGCTGTGTTGAATGACACCCGAGTTGCTTGCTGGTTGTTGTTCTCTGAGGTTTGAGTTGACTAGATACGGAATTTGATTGCATTGAAAAATTGGTTCCAGGGACTCTAACAAGCAAGCTAAGGAAAAGAAAAAAATTACTCTGTGTCCTATAGCATTTGCTCTACCTACCTGTTACTTGTACTTCTTACAAAAATAGGTGCGAAAATTTAGAAAAATAGCCGAACTTGACCGTGGTAGAAAGCAAGAGTCGCAGATTTTGGTACATTTTCGAGAGCTCATTGAATATTGTGCAATGAAATTACACCCATTAGAAAGATGATGAAATGCTGCATCAAATGCTTCTAGGATCTCTTGAAAATCTTGATTCCATGAAATGTGACGTTTATTTGAAAAAAGCGACATTACTTTCGGAACGACCTAATAAATTCAGGAAATCCGTAGTGCAGAGGATAGTAAGTGAGCAGGCAATAGGGCAAGGCTCGGCCTTGCTTAAATGTTCTCTCTTGCTGTTGTGGTTCGCATTCTTCGGAATTTCCGCAGCACGTTTACGAAACTTCCGCAGGTTTCCCGGCAGAACTTTCGAAAACGTCGGAAGTTCTGGTCAGTTGCCTGAATCTAAGACCATTGGGTAAATTTAGGAAATCTGCAAACACCCCTGTTGCCCCTAAGGTACTGCGATTGATGGAACTGCTCTCGCATTCTTTTTGCATCTTAGTAAACTCAATGATTCTAGGTTTAAATCGCAAATTTGTATTATTTACACATCATTGATCTTTACGTTTTGAAGTGCTCTTATAATGAGCCTAGGGTGAGGGTTCCTGCTGTTGCTTGCTACCAATTTTATAGTTCGCTGACAAAAGATTTGCTTCTGCTTTGGTAGAATTCTACCAAAAGCATACTTCTTCAAACTCTTGTTACTATATTACCTATCAAAAGTTTTGTCATCATCAATACCACGAAGCCAATCCATTCGGTTATGCAGTGAGTCTTGCAAGTCTACCCAAGCATTGCTCACCGTCGGTTAATTGAAAAGGAACCCATTTGTCAGACGTTTTGTTTCGGGCTTTTGTCAAAGGGGATTTACTAGCAAGTCTTATATGATAGAATAAGATTTTGAACGTGCCTGCCTTAGTAGTGCGTTTCGGTTTTTCAGTGCTGGTTGATACACTAGTCCCGTTGAAGGTAGTTGTTGCTGAATTTGTTACTGTTGAGTTTGCTAAACAGTCTTAGAGGCAGCGTTCAGGCAAATTTGGACATATGGGGATCTCACGTCGATAGTAATTTTGGGACACTAAATCAGTGCTCAACCGGCAGCTCAGGTAGTGCTCTCAAGGCTGCGATAGAAACTGGATTCCAAAATCGTATTTTGCATGGATTTAGTTGGCGCAACCCATCAGTTTCGCATGGGCCCTTAGAGGCGTATACTTCAGCCGTAAGTGAATCCCCCGCGCTGCCGCTTGGGCTGTGTTTTAGTAAAATTCCCATAGGTCCAGATGTTTTTGTAAAATCCCCATAGGTCCAGATTTGCGTGGACGCTGCCTTTAACAAACTCAACAGTGCTCTATATAAAGACATTAAGACTTTTCAGGCGGAATTGCTGACATTCTTGCACCGTTGTTGCAGTTCTAGCCGTCGTATACGTAGTAGTATCAGAGACGCGTAATAATGATGTTGCTGTCGTTGTCTCTGACACTGTAAAAACAATCCCTCTTTTTCCTTCAATGATACGGCAATCATCAACAATTTTCTTACTGTTGCAACGTTGTTCACAATCTTCCGCAGAATGGAAAAGTTTTCTGTGAACGGAGCCATCTTTGAAGCAAACGTAATACGTCCTGAAGTTTACATGTAAATAGCTTGTTTCGAGACATGAAGGAAATAAACGTACCCGAATCTTCCAAGCCTGTAACGTTTGCATGCGTGAGGTCCTGAATCGTAAATTTTCTGAGTTGATACACATAGCAGTCTCATGTTAGACACACACTTTCGAGGGCAGTATTCTGGTTCTATTTTGCATCACCTTTTGAATTTACTACATACTGCAATATTTGCAAAGTGCTTGTTTTTCAAAGCAGTTTGCGGCCTTGCAGAAATGTATAGACAAAAATTTAGCAAAAATGGTTTTAGTCTTGACTTGATTGCAGTGTGTTGAAAGGTATCTGTGCTACATAACATCGAAACCATGAGATAAAACAGCCTAAATTCTAACGATAAACTGAGCACCAGGCTGAACTTTTGCGCAAAGCACAAATCATAGTTTCCATTATTTTGTTGTTGAGGGCATAGCTTGTCGTTCGTTCAATCAAGAAAATATGCCGCTGGCAGCTAAACCAATGTCTTTGCACAAAGATGTGGGCAATAAGAGCAGTTCACAATCTCAGAAAAGCATACGCATGAAAATGGAGAGTCGCAAAATTATTAACAATTATCACCTTACATGATGTATGTCACCGAACTCGTCTTGAAACGCTGATCACAAAATACATGTTTGATATCTGCCAAGCGACTATCTGGGAGGAGTTACGAGCGTTTAAATGTGCGAATTTAATTTAAAAACACTTATTTGAGCTTCTGGTGAACGTGTTCCTTTCTTGTAAGTAAAATAACCATAGCCGCTGTGAATCCGCGCCCAGGCTACCTTTTGAGAAAATATATTCGTCGAAATTCGACAAGTTTCTCATAATTGAACGCTCATAACTCCTTTCAGATAGTTGCTTGGCAGATAAAATACATATATGTGAAAACAGCGTTTTAAGACGAGTCTGCTGATATACAGCTTGCTTGAAATGGCTGGGTAGTTCTTACCATTCCCTCGTAAGCACGGTTTTGATAGGAGCAAATAAGGTACTAAAGAGTCATGTGATAAACCACAGGTCGACAGTTGGCATATCTCAGCAACTCATTGGTTCCTATCAGTAAAATTCTTGATAGTGTGTTGAATTAAATGACTAGTACAGCCTTTGAATGCTTTCGTTTTCTTCAAAGAAAAGAAAATGACTCTGAAAAAAGACAGTCCGCGGTCGGGGACCATCAGGGGGTCACACAAAAAGGTGAAAATGCGGCTTGTACAGCATCTCTTTCGTGTTCATTACGTTTGTAGCGAAAGATAGTAGGATTATTTCCGGATAGGTAGCCAGCGTAAAATCCCAGATATTTGAAGCTTTAGAATGTGAAGCTTTTTCTTGAACTGGAATTTCTTGAACTGAACTTCCCCCCCCCTCCTCTCCTGCGGTATTGTCTATGCATGCGGCCCTTGGACCGTGCAGCCCCTAATAAGTTTGCGTATTCTCGCGGAAAATCCTCGAGAATGTGCCGCAACTAATCTACGAAAAATACGCCCTCGTTTTCCGAGCGTTCGTCTGAAATTTGCCCAACATTCTTCCGAATATCTGCAAGCGGACCTCAAGTAATCAAGGAGCTATTTTTCCGGTGCCCGCTTGCCCAAAATTCGCATGGCCGCCTGCCCCCGACGACTATCTGAGTAGATGACCCTCCCCTCCCCCCCTCCCTGAGGTTGGGTCAAGGGCGGCAGAATAAAGCACCTATGATAAATGGTGCACATTTTGTTTGGGACCTCCAGCTGTTTCTTCTCTAATACATGAGACTGCATTTTTACAGCGTTTGCAGAAAAACGCAAGCTTGAGACTTCCTGTTTTCGTCAAAGGGTTTAGTTTTGATGGCGAAATAAACCTAAAAATTAAGGAGTTGTCTGATTTTTTAACTGAGCAACATTGTTCAATGAATATATATTCTTGCAGGAAGGAACTATGCAAGAGTAGGAAGTCTGCTTTGCCCAATGTTGGATGCACGTTCACTTTAACATCGAACTCGTCTTTTATTGGCGATCATATAGAAAATGAGAAAGCAGTTAGATTCCTTAATTTTAGATCTTTCTATTTACATGCGAAGCCTCAAAAAGTATCTCTCCGTTTCAAAATTTGGCATAAAACATTAATAAAATTAGCTGATATTGTAGCTAGATAAAATCTCCATATCTCGCTTCGCAAAACAGCTGGGAGAGAGTATGGCGATTTCTGGTGCTCTGAGCTATCGAATGTTATACAAAATATGAGTGCATAATTCTTTCCCACTTTAGAAAGTCTTGCTCCGGCGAAAGCCAAGCCATTAAAGGAGAAACTTATAGTAAATATCTCAACCCCATTTTCAAAGAGCCACACGTTTTTTCGTTTAACTATTTACATAACGTTAAAAAGCTCAC